CCTGTGCCCACTCCTCCAGTAGCCCCACTCTGATCATGTGAGCTACCTCTTCTCATTCCCTCTTCTAACACCTTCCTCTACACACCTGCCCTGCTTCTCTCCTCTGGTGCTGGTCCCTCCCCTGCAGGGTCTGCCCTTCTGCTTCACCCCCAGAATCCTCTGGCACCTGCACCCTCCTGGTGCATCCCCCTTCTCTCACTGCCCCTACCCCCTTTGCCCTCTTTTTCCCTGATGCCTTCCCCCTCACCACCCTCTGCTCCTGTTCCCCTCATGTCCCTGTGCCCTCACACATGTCTTGCTCCATCCCCGCCTTCCTCATGCCCACCCCTTCTTTCAAGCCTTCTCCCAGCACCTCCCCCTCCCCCATCTAGCCCCCATTACCCTTACCCTCTCCTCTCCCAGCATCACCCTGTTCCCCCCTCCCACTGACACCTCCCCTCCTGCCCTTTTCCTCATTGTCTGCACTTGGCCCCCTGGGATTTGTCTCTCCTGCACCAGTCCCTTGGTGCCTTCCCCTTTCTTCTTCTTCTCCTGATCTCCTCCCCTCCCCTACCCTCCCCTCAGCACCAGTCTCTTCACCATATTTTTCCCTTCACCTCCCCACAGCCCAGCCCAGCCTCTTCCCCCACTCCTTCCCCCAGGGCAGCTCTAAGGTTTTTGCTGCCCCAAGCAAAACATTTTATGCCTCCCCCCCTTTTTGTTGTCTTTTACATGTTTGCATTTCGCAATGGGTCTTTTTGTTTTGTTTTGTTTTCATTTTTTTCCCGGCATTTTAGCCCTATAAATAGCAAATAGCATTTTCATTCTTTTTTTTCCATAAAGGCAAAGGCACTTCAAGTGAACTCCCCCTTTCACTGGCTGTTGGGTCACAGCAGCCTTTTCCCTGCCCTGTCCAGCCCCTCCCTATGGACAAGCACCCCTCACTCCCGATCCACAGGGGGAGCAGGGTGCAGGGACAGCACAGAGCCAGAGGGATGCAGGGATCGGGGGTAGCAGGGTGCAGTGGAGGCACAGGCAACAGGACGCGGGGAACGGGAGGGGGAGAGGGCCGGGCATGGGCACCACAGAGCTGGGGGGGCAGGGATCGGGGGGAGCATGGTGCAGAGTACAAGGGTGGCGCAGAGCCAGAGAGTCGCAGGGAAGAGGGAGAGCCGGGGGTCTGAGGTGCAGGGGAGCAGAGGCGGCACGGAGAACAGGCGGCGCAGAGACAAAGGGGTGCAGGGCGGGCGCAGCGAGCCGGGCGGTCAAAAGGGAGCGGTCTCTCATGGGCGAGCGGGCTGGGGCCGTGGTAGGACTGGAGCCGGTGGGGTGGGGCCTGGCTGCGCTGCACTCTGCAGCCAGCTCCCGGGAACACGCAGCCAGAGCTGAGCTGCCGCGGCCTTTTAAAATCGGCGGGGCCACATCACACCAGCATCCTGGCATCTGGCAGCATCCCATCCTCTGGCTCACGCCAGAGCTGCATGCAGGTAGCCCGGTGGCAAGAATCGCTGCTCTTCCCTCTTCCTGGCGGCGCTCTGCTCCTCCGCCGGCCAGCGGATCAGATGGGGCCGCGCTGCCCGTAGTGCGGGCTTCGGCCAGCCCATCACAACGGCCCACCAGGCCAGTCTGCCCCTGCACTCACCAGCTTGTAAAATTTACTCGCCGCAGGCAAGTGTATTTGTCAAGCCCTGTATATAGAGATATAGATATACACACACACACAAGCTTATCAAAAGAAAGGAATTAATTATCAAGTGTAGGACCAGTGTTAACCAGGCCAATTCCATCAGGATGGATGAGGAGGTGTGAATACAAAGTGAGGGAAAATTACCTTTGTAGTGAGATAACCATTCTAAGTCCTTTTTCGTCCTAATTTGATTGTGTTAAATTTGCAAATGAATTGCAGCTCTGCTGTTTCTCTTTGTAGTCTGGTTTTGAAGGGGTTTTTTAGTGTTTAAACTTTCTATTGAAGCGTTTGGACCAAAGTGCAGGTGAATCAAAGTGCAGATTAGGCATGCTAGAGAGAGTATTTATGTTATTTATCCTGCTTCTCCTTACCAAGAAAGTCACATCTAGGTAACAAGCCAGGCCCTTGCATACATGGATTATTCATTTCAGAAATTAAGGGAAATGGTTTCATACCTGTGATAAAATCCACAAGGTATGAAGTAACAGAATCCTACCCCTTTAAAAGCCAAAGATTTCCCTTGCTGTTTCCTACTCATTCCTTCTAGACTGTCTCTTGAATTCAAGAGTTCCAAGGAATGGGTGTTTTCTATCAGCCTGTTCAGATGCTTCCAACCACCATCAAAGCATCTTCCTCATTCATCCACACCATGGAATAGACACTTTTTTCCTCTTCACACCCTCTCTCCATCCTATGACTATCCCATCAATAAAGGCAGAAAGCTGTGGTTCTCCCACTAGAAAGGATGTTAATTATTTCGTTGGTAGACAAAAGACAGGGCTATATTCCTTATGACAAGGACCAAGAGACTGAATAGCCTGAGCCATAAACACATGCATATCTTCAGCTATGGAATAGAAACAGAGCCACAGACAGGTGAAGTGACTTCCCAAAGTCACACAAGCAGTCAGTAGATGAGCTAGAAATAGTCCTGAAAAGTAATAATTTCTGGCTGTCATAGAAAATTCACATAGCCACTTTTAGGCTAAAACTGTTTTAGGCAAAGCAAAAACAAGAATCCATGATTATATCTCTTCATTGTTAGCGTCTTTTTTCTGCAACACAATTTCCACTCCAGATCACTTCTAAAGCAGAATCTCATTGCTTTTTACTGTCTTGTGGACACAAAGAAAAGTACTCAGCAAGAGTGATAGATTTTTTTCTGGCTTAATGAGCTTAACAAGCCTCTAAGAATTTTGACACAGCAAGAATAGCTTTCATAACATTTTTTTGGCCTCTATTATTCCAGACAACAGAAATAGGTGCTTGATTCTTATAACTGTAACCCTTCTGCTAGGCCAAGTTAATAGCAGCAAGGGCCGGGTTCAGTACCGAGGGGACCGCCCCCCCAACAACGTAGTGCAACACCAGCTCGAGCCCCCACCCAGTGACCTGGGAAATCTTACACCCCCCCGGGCACCTCAAAAAGGCAATTCTTCCCCTCTCACAAGCACAGAGCCTTGGTATAGCAGCAAATCTTTAACAACATGAGGGAACTGACATCAGCATTAATTTGGGAAAACACCACAACTAGGATTCATAGACCAAACCATGAGCAAAGATCCACTCCCAGCCAAGAATCACCCCAAATCCCCAAGAGTCCAACACCCCACAAGTCTCTGTACTGAGTCAGTGCTGCCCTAGGGTTCAAAAGTTTACCTGCAGGGTTTTTACCTTCCAACCTGGGTGAAATGGAGGAGGCGGGGGATTGATACACCTTACGTGGTCCCTGTCTCTCCATAGGGTTCTGCTGCCACCTTTAACACGAATCACTCCGCCACACTCCACCTGCGAACTGCCCTGATCCACCTCTCCAACTTCTTCCACTCCACCGGCCACCCGCCGGTCATTCCCACAACTGCTCCATTGGCTGCCTGCCTCTGCTCCTACTGGCTGCCTGCCGGTCATTTCCACCAGCTGGTCGTTCCCACCAGCTGTTCTGCAGTCCGCCTGCCACTGCTCCTACCAGCCGCCCGCCAGTTGTTCTCGCCAGCTGCTCCACTGAGTCATTCCCGCAAACTGCTCTGCCAGCCGTCCTGCACACTGCTCTGCTAGCGGCTCAGCAATTGAGCTTCAGGCTCCCCACAGCACTCAGTGATTTCAGCTCTTTAGCAATTTCAGCTCATAGTAGAGTAGCCTCAGTGCTAGTGCACCATTGGCCCAAAGCGATGTCAGCTCAGCAGCCTATAACTAGACTCCTAATGGAATACAAATTAGCTCTGATATTCTACAGTGGAGAGAGGAGGAGGTGCAGTTGGTGTTTCAGGCCCTCAGACAGGGGCCCCACCACCAGGTACAAATACCTGTCCCCAGCCTCTCTCACTTCATTGGGTTTGGAACCCATGCCCCTTGTCTGGTGAGTGCTACTTAGCTGATGGCGAATCCCTCTGTCATAAAACAGTTCCACTGTCCTTGATTCACATAATCAGGGTAACAACACTTTATCCCCCTCTGCCTCAATAACAGAGAGACTGGGGATCCCACAGCAGCCAAAGTGACCATTTGGGCTGCTGTGAGCTCATACTAGGTGGGGTGGGTGTGCCTATGCAAACAAGATCAGCTCCTGAAGTCTTTTTACACCACTTGCCACAATTCACCACCAGATGCCAGAGTAGAGTTTATCCTGACCCTGCTTACACAAGGAATTGTGTTTTATATGAAGACAGAGAAAGCATTCAATGAAATTATGATAAACTGAAGCAAGGCATGATTTTAGTTCTCATCTTGGCCTATTTTACCAGGTATGACTTGCTTGGAAAACCAAATTATTTTTCAGAATTTGCAGAAATACTGAATGCACTTCATCTGAAATAGGAAATGATGATAAACAGGGCTCGACAAACGATGTAATCTACTTGCACGTGATGAGTAGATTACACCCCGGAAGAGCTGGTGCAGAGCAATTTGCGCATGCGCAGAATGATCTGTGCATGCACACAGCGCAGAACCGCTTGGCGAGCCCTGATGATAAATAACGCTATACTTGGTCTCCTTCTTTTACATGAGATCCATCATGAATTTAATTGGCTTTTGGCAGCAGCATATATAGACCTAAAGGCAGCCTTCAGTTCTGTAAGTAGAGCTTTCTTGTAGAAGGCTTTATAAGGTAGTATTCCCAACATTCTCTCGAGGGTAATTCAAAATCTACACAACTCAGGAGCATAAGTGCATTGGTAGAATCCATAGGTGTAACAAGTTTCATACTAGACCCAGGTTAAAACAGGGATGTGACTTGGCCCTAACCCCATTCTGGTACACAATGAATTGGTTCCTTGAACACATCTCCACAAATATCAGAATAACTTTTGGCTCAAACTCTTACACCAACCTGGATTACGTGGGTGATGTCCTCCTGGTTCCAGGCACAATTATCTCAATAATGCATTAGAGAGCTTCCAACACAAGTCATCTGCTCTTGGGCAAAGGTTTCTTGGGCAAAAACAAAATCCAGAGTGTCAGTACAAAATGATACAAGACAACAGTGTTTTTCTGAACAAACTATAAATAGCGGATGACTTTTCTATATAGGCAGCAAATGGTCATCTAAATAGGCAGACAGCCATCCATCCTAAAGACATATGGTTTAGTATCCTTGGTCATGAAGGACCTGCATAGGTAATAGGTATAGAGCCAAAGAAAAAAAAAAGCCAGACTGGATATAAAAGTATGGATTTACCAAATCTGTGTACTTCCAATTCTCTTCTATGAATGTGAAACATGGACTCTGTTTAAACAAGCCATCCGGAGGCTGGATGTATTTCATATGCACTGCCAGTAATGACAGGCTTTAAGAGACTGAACTGGAGAACTATAGATATCATCGGCCACTGCCAGTTGGCAATTTATGGTCATATTAACCACTTCAGAAACAAAGTTCCTGCATACGAGGCTCTAAAGATTGGACGTATTAGGAAGGGAGACTGCTTGGTCACAGACATAACTCTTGTTGAGTTCAATGGATTCATCCTTAAAAATCAAGCCATTTTTATTTACGAGCCAAAATACAGGTTTCGGTCCCTAACTTCCGGCACTTATGTTTTCTAGCTTTTGAAAAAAAAAAACCCACTATTTTGAAAGCTAACTGAAGACAAAGTACTAACTTCACCATTTAATTAAGTAAATTGTTGTGGCCTTTTATTTGCACATGCATATATAACCCAAGGTCCAAGTGTGCTTCAGCAGCAGCCCTGGGAACTACAAGTTGAGGAGTACAAACTGAGGCATGTTGGGAGAACAGGATGTGCCCTCTGCCCCCAGCAGGGTCTCAGAATAGACTGAGCTGGAAGCAGCACGCAGGCTGCATGCAGAAAGGAGGGGCTGCTGAACTGTGATCCTGTTCTATGGGTTTTTTTTTTTTAAAGAATAAAGCCTGTTCCTGGTGGTTTGTCTGAGTGGGTCTGGTCTGAGGTGCAAACATAATACACAATGCAGAGCACACCAAGGACCCTCAGCCTAGTCTCCCACAGTTGTGTAAGAATTCCCAAGGCTTCCCCTATAGTGAATAACCTCGCACTGGGCTAGTGAACAGGAGGGGTTACACATGGATCATAGATTAGGATAAGAAGAGACCTCAGAAGGTCATCCGGCCCACCCCAAGCTCAAAGCAGGACTAACCTCACCTAAATCATCCCAGCCAGGGCTTTATCAAGTCAAGCCTTGGAATCTCCATCTTTTGAGGGTTTCTATCATCTCCATAGGCAACTGATTCCAGGGCTTCACCACCCTCCTAGTGAAATAGTTTCTTCTAATATCTAACCTAGATCACCCACACGCACTGCAACCTGATACCATTGTTCCTTGTCATCCTCCACACTGAGAACAGCCTCTCTCCATCCACTATGGAATCCCGCTTCAGGGTTGAAGGATGAGATCAAACCTCCACCCACTCTTCTCTTTCACAGACTAAGAAAGCCCAAATCAAACTGCACTGTTCTCTGAAAGCAGAGGCTGATTACAATGGCTGCATACACAAGACTAAATTTTTCCCTCACCAGTTTTTCCTGATATAATTTTGTGTGTTTTTATAAAGTTGCCTGAAAATGGCAATTTGGCTACCAAAAAAAAAAAAAAAAAAAAATCACACAAAATTGAAGCTTCCATAATTTCAGAGAAAAAATGATTTCACTTGAAAATAGTTCTTCATTACAACACTTCTTTTGGTTAAAGTGGTGCTTATTTTTCATCAGAATGAAATGCAATGAAGACTGAAATTTGGAACACTGAAAATTTCATTGTAAATATTTTACAATACCCTGGGGTAATCATTTTTTTTAAAACCTAGATAGATTTAGGTAATAAACAGGATCAGAAAAATGTCACAAATTAATTTTTTATTGCTGATAATTTTAAAGTTTCATTGTTATTCAGTTTTTAAAATAGAAAGGAAATAAAAGCAAAAAACTCATGTTGTTTGAATTGTTGTCCTAGTTCCTTCACCTATCCATAACAGCAAACTATTATAAGTTTTCAGTCTTTATTAACACAATCTATAAAATAGGTTTTTTGTTATCATTGACAAATGAAAGACCAGGAATGTTCCTGTCCTTTTATCCTTAGACTGTATGAAAAAACGCACTCTGAATTGTAAAATGATGCAAGACAACAGAGCTCAACATTTCGTAGTTAATTTTTTTCTGCTTAAAGCAATTACTTTTGTCGTCACCATGTGTAAAATGTATCGCCATGGGAAAGGGTGTAAAGTCAAATGTGCTTTTCAAAGCATAAGTTGCACATAAATACAATCACACCTACAAACGGCCTCACCTCCCAGATAGTAAGCTCTCTCAGAAGTTACTGCAAAATACAGAATGGAAATGCCATTCGTGCTGCCTTTGTTCAAGGGAAAAGAACTATATCTGCTTTCGAAAACTGAATCCCTTATATTTGCTATTCACAAATAAGGCTAGCTCTCCTAGCAACTGCCACATCACATGGGAGTTTGTTTCTAGGCTGCAAAGCACATTATAGAAACTTATTGGCTTTTGATCTTAAGCAACAGTTTTAAGTGAGTTTTAAGGAGGCATACCTGGGAGGTCAACAAATGCCTTTGATGTTGACCGCGGAACGTCCAGACTACCGCGCTGAGCCGACAAACAGCTGATCAGCTCAGCGCGGCAGCCATGTAAATGTAAATGAAGCGACGATTATTTAAATCGCCGCTTCATTTTCCTATGCCGGGTAGTCTAATCTACATGCCTCTGTCACCAGAGGCATGTAGTCTAGACGTACCCATAGAGACAGACAGACAAATGTTAAGGAGCATATTTATATTTATGAGTAATGCCTTTGTTATTGTTGCATGTTTCTGAATTATAGTCACCATGTACACAGTTTCATTCAATAAGGGTGAAAATTAATACTATATAAATATACAGAAAGAGGAGATGTTTTGGATATTAGAAGAGCAGGAGTTTTGAATAAACTAAGCATGATACACAGAGTTTTCTAAGTATTAGAAGAGCATACATTTTTAATAAGCATGAATCACTTACACATTGGAGTTCTCAGGGACAGTTCCCTTCCTGTTTGAATGGATGTTCAGGCATGGGGCTTTATTCAAAATGTTTGTCCTTCCTTGACCTCCTTAGGACTACTCTGAGCAATAAAGATTTGAGGGCAGCAAGAATATAGGGTTTCCCTTTGACATTTAAAAATCCATGCCCATGTACCGATTATTTTCCCTTTAATAAGCATACTGTACATAATCCATGGCTCTCCTATACAGTAATGGATAAAAGTAGCTGGATTCAGTTTTATGGCTATACTATTTCTCCCTCCTCAGTCAAAAAATAAACAGTGAATAAAATGAGAATTTCACTAAAGGAAGAGAAAATAACCCTGGGGTGGGGGAGGTGAAAGGCACCCTTCATTTTCTCTGCGTTGATCCATTTCTTTACATCCCTGTAAACTTACCATTTGCTGCAGATCTCCTGAAAGATACTGTAGATCTTGTACCATTTACTCTTCTATGCACAGATCCAGTAGCCTTTTCCCTGCATTACATATAGCATAAAAGAGAGTGTAATTGCAGTGTCAAATAGGTATGACTTACATTTCAAGAGCTAATGAAACCAATACAAAGCAAAGCATGTAAATACAAAAGTAATTTATATTGGAAGCCAAACCTAAGACTTCTATAAAATCTGTAATAGTTAATACCATGGTCAAGGAGTCCCCGGTAACACTCAGAGAGTCTATATTCTTCAGTAACATATATTTATATAAAATAAAATGTATTATGCTCCCAGTTAAAACCCTAATTATACTCAGAATGTACATCAGTACATGACATGAAATATTAACTATGAGCGAACTACAGATTTTCATGAGAACAAAATATAACCTTATTTGCATTTTTTTCTGCTATTCAACCCAGCTGCATCCTACATTTTAATAGTGTTGTTCTTTTGTGGTTATTATGAAAATAATGTGTTAGTAGTTGCTCTGTTGGTTATAGAATATATTTTAAAATAATCAAGAATAATGAGGGTACATTTTGGTGGGATATTAATAAAAATCTAGTAATGTGCTATTTTGAGCATTGACACACACAAAAAGGAAATTTATGCTGAACTCTAGTTAGAGGTTTTTCTATTTTTACTTCATACCCAGAATAGCATTAAAACTATAGAAACACCTAAAAGCCATCCCTTAGTGAAATATATTACTGTTATATTAATATGCATACACACTATACACACACACACTATTATTTATATTAGCAATTTGCGTGGGGGATATACAGAGCGCCATAAATTGTTGCACAATCATTTGTTTTTAAAGCCTAATCACAAAAAGCCAGAGATTTCAAAACCTAAGCAATACATTTTAATATACATTGATCAGAAAATATATACATCTCATAAATTATGTTACATATGGACAGTTCTTGGAGGGCTGGAGAACCCAAGTTTGCATACTGCTATTGTCCTTTTGTGACTCACCCACAACAGATAACACTCCAAGCAGATTTTAGATAATGTAGTCAGACACACAGAGCCAACAATGTAACACCACAGTGAAAAAAAAAACAGAAATAATTGGTACTGACATCTGGTAGGTGAACTGGTTTTTATTACTCTCTCCTTACAGCCACCATTCACTAATGAATCCCTCTCCCCCATATGTACTACACAGAAATAACATTAAGACTGAGCATCAGAGACACAAAAGGGGGATAACAAAGTTGAAGTTGAACCACGCACATTCATGAAAAGATGCACAGTTCACACTTTTCAAAGTTTGGGGATTTTGTTTGTTATTTCTTATAACGTGGACTAAGTGTTAATCTTGAATTTGCATTGTCTAGGTTTTGGAAATTGAGATTAAAACTTCCATGTTATTTACAGGATTTAAAAAATAGCTGTCATACCTTTAGAAGTAGTATTTATATTTAATGTGATCGTTAAAATAGAGCTAGATTCTGCCTTTCAATTACATTTGTGCACTGTGGTTAAGACAAGTATAAGTGAATGAGGAATATGGCCTAGCATAAACTGCATTAAATTTTGCATATGAACAAAATCAGCAATCTTAAAATAAACCCCTTTGACATTCATACAACGTTATTTTAAAAAGTCAGGAAAATTAGCATTAAAGTTGAAAAATTTCCTTGAACTCTGTGCCCTCATTCACTGGCAGAAATAATATGACAGACACTCGGATTTTTTTTAAAGATAGCCTTACATATAGCATGCATACTGCACAACAGTGAAACACAGACACTGTAGCCACCCCCCCCCCCCCCCGACCATCTCCCTTTACCCACATATTAGAGACTTCAATGCAGCTACTTAACATAAGCAAAACAAGCAGTCTTTGGTACTGCATTCAATTTAGAAGATGAGAAATACGATATCAGTTCTTGAGCAGTGGTGCTCAATATCACTTTTTGAACAAAAAACAGGACTATGTAGCACTTTAAAGACTAACAAGATGGTTTATTAGGTGATGAGCTTTCGTGGGCCTGACTCACTTCCTCAGATCAAATAGTGGAAGAAAATTGTCACAACCATATATACCAAAGGATACAACTCCCATTCCCTTTTACCCCTTCTCTACTTATGCTACCTTGATGACATCTTTAGGATCTGAACTCATGGCCAAGAAACACTGGAGACATTCCACCCATATTTTAACAACCTACGCCCCATCATCAATCTCAGCCTGGACCATTCCACACGAGAGATCCATTTCCTGGACAACACAATACAAATCAGCAATGGAAAATTAGACACCACTCTCTACAGAAAACCCACTGACTCATACAGTTACCTACATGCTTCCAGCTCCCATCCAGAACACATCATACAATCCACCATCTATAGCCAAGCCCTTTGATACAACTGCATCTGCTCTAATCCCACTGAAACTTCAGGATCTCTACCAAGCATTTATAAATCTCCGCTACCCACCCGGAGAAATAAAAAAGCAAATTGAAAGAGCCAGACGAATACCTAGAAACCACCTACTTCAAGACAGACCCAAGAAAACCAACAATAGAACACCACTTGTCATCACCTACAGACCCCAACTTAAACCTGTCCAACATATTATCAATAAACTACAGCCTATACTGGAACAGGATACTAAACTCCAAGAGGCTCTGGGAGACAGACCCATAGTCTCCTATAGACAACCACCTAACCTCAAGATGATTCTTACCAACAACCAGAGGACATACCACACTAATACCAACCCTGGTACCTTCCCTTGCAACAAACCCCGTTGCCAGCTTTGTCCACAGATTCACTCTGCTGATACCATTATTGGACCTAACCAAGTGAGTTATAAGATCAAGATCACATATTCCTGCGCATCCAGAAATATAATTTATGCTATCATGTGCCGAAAGTGTCCATCTGCTATGTACATTGGACAAACGTCTCAGACACTTCGCCAAAGGACCAATGCCCACAAAACAGATATTAAACAGGATCACAAAGAAAAAACAGTTTCTTGCCATTTCAACCAGCAAGGACATTGTCTCAACAACTTGATTACCTGCATCCTGCTTCAAAGGCCTTTTAAGACTACACTTGAAAGGGAATCCTCTGAACTGTCATTCATGCTTAAATGCGACACTTTACGCCTAAGTTTGAATAAAGAATCTAGTTATCTTACCCATTACAAAGATAGCTTCCCCAATTATCACCTCTAATATCATTAGCTCACAGACATTTACCTCCCCCCCAGCCCTCTTCTGTTCTGAAATTTGATTTGTCCTTTTCATATGTGTTCATTTTTTTTAATTGTATCCTTTGGTATATATGGTTGTGACAATTTTCTTCCACTATTTGATCTGAGGAAGTGGGTCTGTCCCACAAAAGCTCATCACCTAATAAACCATCTTGTTAGTCTTTAAAGTGCTACATAGTCCTGTTTTTTGTTTCAGCTACACCAGACTAACACGGCTACATTTCTATCACTTTTTTAACAGTGCTGCTCAAGCTTTCCTGTGCCCCTTTCAGGAGTCAAGTTTGTCTTGTGTGCCCCCAAGTTTCACCTCAATACTCACTTACATAATCAGACATAAAAAAACAAATGCAGCATACCTGCATCACTACTGAAAAACTGCTTACTTTCTCATTCTGTATGTATGAAATGTTTGCTTGTACTGACGTCACTAATGCTTTTTATATAGCCTCTTGTAAAACCAGGCAAGTATCTAAGTAAGGTGATGTACCTCTGGAAGACCTCTGTGTCTCCCCAAGGAGTAAACGTATCCCTAGTTGAGAATTGCCGCACTATATCATTTCTACTCTCCTCTGTCTCTTGTTCATGCTAAAAAACTAACAGTACATGCACTGCTATCTTTGTATTCCTTCCAACAATCCAAATGTTCTTCAAGACTTCTAATTTAATAATGTGGTTTCTTTTTTAGTCAAAGTAAGCACAAAGGCCCCGATTTGGGAAAACATCCCAACTCAGGAAGTCAGTGAGGCCCAGATTCAGGAAAGTATGTACTTAACTGCATAACTATCCAGGCAAGTACTTTAACAAATGCTTAAACTGCATTTGTTTTGATAAACTTAGCTCAATTGAACAACATGTGTAAAACATTTGGTAACACCATAGCCAAATATAAGGTCATACATCTGGGAATAAAGAACATACGTCACACTTGCAGGGTGTCTGGTAAGTAATGGCTCTAATTGCAATCATGGTGCATGAACAAATAGCTGGGCACAAGCTCCTGATGCAATACAATGGCTAAGAATAAGATCTTTGTATGTATATGCACGGAAATACCGAGTAGAAGCAAGGAGGTGCTATTACCGCACTGTATGGCATTACTGAGAACATTACTTGAATACTGTGACCTTTTTCTGGTCTCTACATTTTAAACATTACAGCAACAACTGTAAAGGTTTCAGAAAATAGCAATGTGGAAAAATGGACTCACCATTAAGGTACCCCTCGTGGCAAGGCATGGCCAGTTTCATTGTCTAGCACCCCAGACTGATGCTGACAGACACCCGATCCTGCAGTCGTCTCACTTTGCATGACTCACCCCTCAGACAATAGTCTCTCCCCATTTGGGGTAATGAAAAGTCCAACAAAAACAAATGCCTGATCCCTCCATCTGGTGTACCACTCTCCATTCCGGGCTCCAGGGTCTGCAAACCCTCTTCTCAGGCCTTCATGTCTCCTTACCGGTGGCAGGTATGTGAATCCAAGCTTGCTCTCTACACTGGGCTATGACAGCAGTCAAGGTTCATTCTGTCAGACTTCCTGCTGCCATCTCCCTAGACTAAAACTAATCAAACCTTACCTCAGATTTTGTCCTAACACTGCCAGAGGCTTCCTGTCCCTTACAGGTCTCTTCACTCTCTATTAGCAGGAGAACAACAAAATAATTTCTTCCTCACTGCTTGCAATTTCTTTTCTGCTCCACCCAGCCCCTTCCCAGATAGATTTCATCATTAATTAGGCCTGGCCCATAGTCCAGGTGCAAGTAGGTGGGTTAATTGGCCTCTGAAGCTCATATTAATCTAACATGGTGGTTCTCAATCAGAGATGTGGGTCCCTAGAGGTATTAGGGATGTAAAATCCCATTTAATCAGTTTAGCAGTCAAACATTATGGTTAACCGGTTAACTGGAATCACGTCCCCAGGCTCAGCTGGGCCCTCCCCGCACCTGCAGAAAACAGGGCTGCTTGGGCAGGAGGCTGCTCCAGATAGGCCTGCTGCACCTTGCTGTGAGCTGCTCCAGCAACCCAGCCATGGCATGTGGTGGGCACAGCAGGGCTGGAGCAGCATCCCTTCTCATGCTGAGTGGGGAACTGCTCCAGGCCAGCCAGGCCATCAGTTGACCAGTAAAGGTAATGCTTAGTGATAACTGGTTAACCAGATACATCCCTAAGATATATGCAGAGTTCTTCCAAAGGGTACATCAACTAATCTAGATACTTGCCTAGCTAGATACTTTACAATAGGCTACAAAAAAGCATTAGCAAAGTCAGTACAAACTAATATTTCATATACTGGCTTGTTTATACTGCTTTATACTTGATTTTATAATTATATGGTAAAAAGGAGACAACAAGCAATTTTTCAGTCACAGTGTGGCTGACACAGTCTGTATGCTTATGTCTGATTTTGTAAGCAAGTAGTTTTAAAGTGAGTTATAGCATAGGGGTGTACAAGACAAATCAGATTCCTTAAAGGACTTGAAAGGTTGAGAGCCACTGATCTACAAATAAAAGCACTGCAAAATCCAACAGCTGGAAACTGAAGCTGAACAATTTTAGATTAAAACACAGTGCACATTTTTAACAGTGGAACAACTTACCTAGATTTTCTATCACTTGCAATCTTTAAATCAAGATCTTCTGTCTCTCTAAAAGATATGATCCAGTTTAACCAGAAATCATGGGCTTGATGCAAGAAGCCAGATTAAAATCACCATAAATGACTCCTTCAAAAATATCATGGTTTCTCAATCCATTAATTATGAAAGATTGCCAAGGGAGATTTTAAAATCTTAGATCTGGAGCTACATTTGAGGATTCCAGAACTCTATTGTACTTACGAGTAAAATCCTAAACCCAGGATATGTTTCACCAATATTCCTCAAAACTCAGGTCTGCTCTTAATAATATTGTAATTATACCCTGAATCATCTCAAATTCTGTTCTAACTCAACATTTGGATAGTTTAGAAATGAAGAACACCAGAGATCAATATTCTATTGTACATGTAAGAAATTTCTCAGCTTAAAATGCTCATATCCTTAGAACAATAAAAATATTTTAATACAAATTTTGTTTACACAAAGAGTAAAATGCCATTCTGAAATTTTTTATTCGCCATTTCCAGATCATGTATATGAAAGATATTTGATATGAGCATAGAACAAAACTCAAAAAAAATCTAAGGTTTTAAATAACTTTTCTAAACTGAGATTTTGCCCTCATAGCTAAAGCAGTTCAATAGCTCATTCTAATTTAGCTACCAGATCAGTACGGACAACAATTCCAGTTGTATAAAGCATTTGCCAGAGAATAGGTCCCATGAGCACCTATTAATTCGGAGCTATTTTAAGCCTAATTTTTCCTCCATGACTACAAAACCCATGACATATTAATGAGTTCTCCTGAGCTCATGGAATTGCTCTCTGCTTTTCATTTCCCCCTCAAAAGGTAGCCACTTAAAACCAAATTCACTTGCATGAAGTTTCTCAAGCTTACTCCCTTCCAAGAGTAAGGGTCCCACAATCTATTTTACTGTGCTATGCTATATAGCAATGGAGCTATGGGTCATGACATGACATGCAAAGCACACACCTCATAGCTTCTGACACAGTGATGAGGAGCAGTGTATTTCATAGCTGACTAAACAACCCATGAATCACGAAAAATTCTTAAAAATGGACCAAGATAGCTTGGAGACCTCTTAAAATAACTCCAAAACAAACCTTAACCAGAAGGTGATGATTATTCTAATCAGAGAGATCCTTTCAATACAATGGCATTTGGGGGGGGTGGAAGCTAGAAGAATGTAGGTGAAGGCACCGCCTCACCTGCAAAAGCAGTCTAATGTCAAGCTTTTGAAATTTTGGGGTGCCTATTACACTTTAACCCTTTGTCATAAGAGAATACTACACAGTTATCTAAGTTGTTGGCCTAAAGTTTCTAGCCAGTGATTCCATTTTCTAAGCCATTATCCAAACAAAGATAAAAGGGAATTTCTGCTGCCACCTTTAATTCTGTAGCTACAAATCTTGAAGCAACATGAATACCAGAGGACTACCTCCACAGTTTCTATTGTGTGGACACACTGACATTAACTAATGGCAGTTGGCTAAAGGTGTGTCATCTAAGTTCCACAGACACGGTCAAATCTGCTCTAGTCTAGCAAAGCAATCAGCATGAAACTCCACCATCTGAAACTCTCAAACTTTTCTCCTCCCTGAGCAAGAAAAACAAACATTCAACAAGAAAATATAGTCCACAGATATACCAATATATATATATACAGGCAGTCCCCGACTTACGCGGATCCAACTTATGTCGGATCCGCACTTACGAACGGGGCTTTTCTCGCCCCGGACCTCACGGGCGGCGGGTTGCCGCCCGTGTCCTCCGGGGCGAGATAAGCTTCTTCCGGTCTCCCTGGTCTGCTGGGGGGTCCAGCAAAGCCGCTGGACCCCCCCTGCAGACCAGGGACACCCGAGCAAAGCCGCTGCCTGGGCAGCTTTGCTCGTTTGCCCGGGAGCAAAGCCGCCCGGGCGGCGGGACCCCTGCCGCCTGGGCGGCTTTGCTCCTGTCCCCCTGGTCTGCTGGGGGGGTCCAGAGGCTTTGCTGGACCCCCCCAGTAGACTAGGGAGACAGACTCATAGACTCATAGACTTTAAGGTCAGAAGGGACCATTATGATCATCTAGTCTGACCCCCTGCACAGTGCAGGCCACA